AGGGGTATGATTCTCGCTTTGGGTGCGAGAGGTCCCGGGTTCAAATCCCGGTTGAGCCCGTAGTAGCATTTTTTATGAACTTTTTTTGAAGTTTTCTCAATCTGCTACAGCTATTTTATCATTGTAAACATTTCATTCAAGTGGGTATGCTCTCTTTAATGAACTAAAATCAATACTCAAGCAAGGACTTATATCTGTGGCAGCCACAACGAGCCAATTGTTTAGCCAATCTCTTTGCCACGGACTCCAAGCAATGATGAACAATTCAATTCAATATATTGAGAGTCGATTTCTAATGTTGCCAGGCTTCAGACCACCCCCTCACCTAATCGCACCACACTGCCCTGGTGTCCCCCATCTGGCTCCCCACATCTAATCCCGTTCTCCCCCTACTTGTGTGATATCCCTGCGTCTTTGGTTACACCCTGCCTCACAGTCCCTCCTGCCAGCCTGTCATGTTTGTTTGCTCGTTCTCAAGTGTTTCATATGCTTGTCAAATATATATACGATGGAGTATTGGCAACACTTGCCTTGCCACAGCTGCAACGCCCCTCTGAATGTCACTCGTTTCCCCCTCCTTTGGCTAACATGTCAAGACACTTGTTGTAAATGAAAGATGTTCAAGTGTCGCTTTCATATTTCTTTCATAACGTTCGCTTAGGCGTCCACTCAAAACTACTTTAAAAGTCAAGCAAAGAGGGAAGGGGCCAGAAACCTCAAATTCCATATAGAAATCTACTGAGAGCTCCAGATACCCATAGAAAATTAATGTTTATTGCATTTTATTAGGCATACACTCGTGTTTATGGCTCTATGAATCTAATCACCATCAAAAGTGCCTCAATTAACATGCTAGGACAAGCACAAGGACTCTCCATATATGCACAAAAAAAACCCAGAGAGAAAAGTCCAGAGACTCTCCACACATGCAAAATCTAACAAAAAATATATGGAAGGGAATAATTGTTTACGCATTTGAGCCAGGCAACCGGCAATAACAAAAATACAGCACCAGGACAACGGACCGCAAGAGAGGTCATGTTTTTGGGAGACTTACAAAAGGGATATATGTATGTACATATGTAGGTGTATATGTAGGCATAGAATATATACCTATTAGTATATGGGAGCGTGTGGGTGTGTGGCAGGAACACGTTTAAGTGGCAGACAAAGCAACAATAGAGGGAAACAAATTAATAAAGCTAACAAGAGAGGAAACCCATGCAAAAATATAGAGATACATTCAAAATGAACAGAACGGAGAGAAAGAAACTGAATGGAGTGCAACCCAAGCTAAATTGATAGCCAAAATGTTGAAAAAAACCCTACAATCAGTGATTCAGTTCTATCAATATTCATCTGGCATAGAGACCTATCCTTAACCGAAACATGGCAATTCAATCAGCAACTAGAGAGACAGCAACTGTCAATGCCCCCCAGGGTGAGGGGCAGCCCTCGAAACATATTCGTCAAATCAAAAACTGCACTCAGCCACAGACCTAACTACACCACTGGCCCCAACAGACATCGATTCCTATGCCACTGCCCCAACAGCCTCACAGTCAGCGTTCCCATCCACTTCAATAAATTTGATTTTCGCCCACAACCTGAAAATTCATATGCAGGCAAAACTATCAGCAAAAACCCGAGCTGAAACAAATATTGAGTTGTCAAAAAAATGAAATGAACACAGACGCGGTATCAACAACAAATAGTTTGGTGTCTTTCCTCACAGATGGGAAATATTTAAAAGAAGAGAAAATGAAATCACGAAACCGAACTGAATATATGTAGAACCAGTTGCCAAAAACCTCCAGATCCAACCGAAAACGGATGAGTAGACAAGAAAGAAATGTTTTATACCCTTCAAGATCCATCTTTTCTGTAGCACTTATTTAAATTATTTGTGTGGCACTGGCACTGGGTACTGGGTACTGGGTATATACGTTTACCTTCTAAGATACAAAAATCAAACATGTTGTGAAAATCACCATACACTCTTAAAGGATATAAAATCTTGTTCAGGGCAAATGTTGTGCCAACAGCAATATGGAACTATCCAATGGAAAAGAGATTGATGGAAACAGCCACAAGAACGGCAGCAGTAGCAGTGGCAGTGGCAGGAACTAAGGCTTAAACTAAATGGACAGGACTGAGAATGGTCATGGCAGGAGCATGAGGAAAAGGAAGAGCCTGCTGGGCCTGGCGAGAGCTTTCAAATAAACGAAATTGCTTGTACAGCTCTTGGCCAGACACTTGGTCACTTGGCCCTGACCTTAGGCACATTTTCACACAACCAGCAACACACACTCGAGCAAATCGGAAAAATCAGAGGTGGGGAAGAGAATGTATAGCTGGGCAATGACAACGGAGCTGCAAAAGGAACTACACGCCTGGTAAATGCTCTTCAAAAAGGGAGTTATTTCCACAACATTTACGAGTATATATTCACCGGACATTCAAAAAAACTTTAACATGAAGCAAAAACTTTGCAAAAAGGCAGAAAACTACTGCCCCAAAGTACGCAACACTAAGCCCCTGTCTCAAAAATTCTGTGGCAAGAAAACAGTTTGGGGGAAAAACCTCCATGAAGTAGTGAACCCCTAAGATAGTGTCTGTATAACTTGCATGCATAACTTCATCAACTCTCGCTCGCCCAGTGGCTCAGAAGCAAAACCAACCTCAGGCCAGGACAGGCATATGCACACATACTCGTAGCACATACTCGTAATACTCATAAAGCAGAGCTGAAATGTTGTTGGCAGGCGGCTCTGGCACCCACAGGAAAATGGCCAAGAAAAGGGCGAAGAAAAGGAGAGGGGAAAACCATTATTACATTTTTCACGCCAATAAAAACAAACACAGAAAGCAAAAGGGAAAACTGGGTCTCGGCTCATCCACTGCCTTGGCATACTGTCCGAATGCCTGTACAATGCCGGTATTTTCCATTTTTTCTTGTTTAGGGTTTTCTTTTTGGCAATTTCCTTTTTCAGGCGTCGTCATCCGGATGGGAGTTCGATTTCGATTTGGGGACACGGCCTTTGGTCACTCACGAAAATTACTAAAATTGTATATCCGTTTCCGGTTCAAGTTGGGTCTCCCGTCCCCAACATCCTTCCTTTTCTGTTCTGCTTCCCTCAGTGCTTTTTGACAGGCATATCGAGTGTTATTTATTGGCACATGTGGCCCATGTCCTCGCACTGACCAAGTCCTTGCCAACCAGAAAATAGTTGGGACATAATTTATGGCACAGACACATCACGCATACGCCGCATTGCACACACGCTAGCCAGTGTCTGCGTGGGCTTACGAGGAGGCTGACTAGCCTGTCTGTAGAATGCCTGTTCTAAGTGAATGTAAAATAGTTACAGCCATTTTTCATTCTATCCAGTAGCCTGGACATGTAATCCCCTGCAAGCCCACAAGTCGAAGAACAGTATAACAAGTAGAACAATTGCCCAAGCAATCAACACAGGCGGCAAATCCTTGTCCAGCTTCAAGTGGCTGGAAGCAATTTCCCAAAAATGGTAACCCATTTCGAATGCATCACCAGGACCATTGTAGGGCCAAACGGGCAGTTAAGAGGTAATCATTTCCACAGTATGGAGATGGGGGCTTCCCTTAATCATTACGACAAATTGCCAGGCCAGGGCAGGCCAGAGGCAATAATGATTAATAATGAGGCAGCTGCAGTTCGTACCTCCGCAAAATGGCAAAAGTTTTGTGCGGTCGCTTGTGGCTTTATTAAAATAAATAACTACGGTTAAGGAAGTTCCGGGGTAAAGGGGGACGGGGACGGGAACGACGACAACCCAAGGTAAGGCTCGACCCTAGTTGCTGTTTCCGCTTCCGTTATGAATAATAAACTTGGCGCGACTTCAACTTTATAGAGGCTCGGGCTGCGGGTCGGCGTCCGGCCCAAAGTTTGTGTAATTTGTGTAATTAAAAAGTTCTCCTGATTAACCTGACAGCTGACAAGGTCACTTAGTGGATGGAACTATCTCCCCGATAGGACAGTAACACAAATCGACAGCCAATGTAAGCCCGTGACAGTTGTACGATTATTGGGGCAAAGATATGTACGTACATCGGGTCAGATGTGTGCAACTTTGCAGCTTTTGTTGCGGACTTACTCTGGTGGCCCATCAACCTACTGCACATTGTTTTGTTTCGCATTTTTTGTTATTTCTTGTGGCATTTCTACGTGCATTTCATTGCTAAAGTTTTTAGCTCATGTCCTGCGGAGATGTCATGTGTGGTGGACGTTGCTCCAAGGAAATCGGTGGCAAGAAACTTGTCTGCCTCTGGCTGCATACAATGATATTGTTTTACTAACAGAAAACTCTTTTCGGACCATTTGTAGATGTGTATGCCATGGCACATGTATGGAACAGTTTAATTGAATAAAATCATGAATATTAGATTACAACAAAAAGAGATGAAGCTGGCTGCTAATCAAACCCATCCAATTTAAACTGAATTAAACTGAGGACGAAAATTTAATTGAATAAAATTCTGATCACAAATGAAAAACTCAATTCAAAGGCAAAAAAATTAGAAGTCGATGGTTTGGTTTATTTAAAGAAGAATTAATGTCAATGGCAAAAACACCCATAACTTGGTCTATGGCACACATGAATAATATAGTTGTAAAACTTATTTATAATTGGAAGTAATAATATTTGACTAGAAGCACTGTGGAATAGTACGTCTGTGGGCCTTTGTGGAGCATTCTCTGGCTCTGACTCTTAGAGATCACACTGTTGAAAATGTTTAATGTTTAAAGGTATCTATCTAGTTTGATCTGAGCTCAATTTAGAACAAAAATAAAAAAAGCACAAAAATTAGCTTTATCCGTTTCCAAATCTAATGTAAATACCAAGTTTTTTCCTATCTAATTGCACTGCCCATTAGTCCGTTTAATTAGCTTATAATGAACAGAGTTACACATACAGAACAAATGTGATCAAATTGCCAGCAACTGTCAGAGACTCAACACCATGTGGAAACCCATGCCAAGCCTAATTTTAATTCCAATTCTGATTTCCCTGTGCCCTGGGAGCTGCCTGGGAGCCTACTTCAAGTTCACCAACGTAGAGTGCAAGGGTCTGGATCCAAAATTCGTAGAGTTCAAGGAATGCTACCTCAAAATGGTGCGCCGCAATGTGGTCGGCATGAACTTCCATTTGGCGGTGAAGACTGACAGGCCCGTCGACAAGATCGAGTTCAATCTGTGCATATTCCGCAAGTCGAATGTCTATAGGCTCTTCATGGTCAATCATACCCTGGACTTTTGCTACTACATGAAGAAGCCACAACAGTATCCCCTGTTCTACATATTCCACGACTCTCTGATGAGCGCCACAAATGCCAATCACACCTGTCCCTATCAGGTAAGTCGTGGCTATCCTTTCTCTCACTCAGTGTATAATCCCCATCTTTTTCCAACAGGAAAAGGATATCTTTCTGAAACAGATGACGCTCAGTGAGAAGGCCGTCCGGGACCTGCCACTGCCCAATGGGGAATACAAACTGACGGTGACTGTGGGCGCTTATAAGGTCTGGCGCTTGCAGGTCAGCGTTTATGGTGTGCGTGGATAGTTTTTCAATTTTTTTCAATTATTTTCAATAGACACAGTAGATTGAAGATTATACAAAACCATTAGGGCCAACGATGTGCACCATGCGTTAAATGTAATCCATAAACTTACCGTACCCCAAAAAATCAATCAGTTTAATGTCTCATTCCGTGTGGGAAACATGAAAGATCAGCTGGTTTTTTTCAGTCTCATGCTATCCATACTGCTGCTGAAGGAGCTGGAGCCCATCGAGGGTAGGGTCTTCAAAGTCAGCAAAATGGACTGCCGCACGCTGGACCCTTCGTTTGCCCACGTTAAAAACTGCAATGTTGTGCACAGTGAGCACGGTAGGGCCGCACTCTACATCCATATAACGATGCTCTATAAGGGGCCCATCGATGATATCATCGTGAGTATACGCAGCGAGCAAACCCCATTAGAGGTCTGGCTAATAAGTGTAAATACAGTTAAATTTGGGAATTTATAAAATATTGAAAAATCGACGCTTCCAATTTGTGAACGAGACCATGGACTTTTGCTCCTTTTTGCGGCAGCCTTTGCAGTCCGGATTCTTCGGATTCCTAATCAATCCGTTGCTCAAGATAACCAATGTCAATAGAACGTGCCCCCTACAGGTAAGATCTTGGATATCTCTTGGAGGCAATAATTACCAATATACTTACAAAAAACAGCAGCAAGACTACATTTTTAATGGTTTCCCCATCGATGAGGACACACTCAAAGAAGTTCCCTTACCAAATGGGGTCTACATGTTGCAGGTGCGGACATCCATGCTCAAGAAGTGGAGAACTGACATAAAAGTCTATTCGACACGGGTTGAAAAATACTAGTATTCATAAACGTTTTATTTTCTGCAGCATTTTACGAATATTAAATCTTAAAAAAAACATGTTTATTTCATGCATAACCAACAATTTTAGTTCTTCAAATTAACAAAAAATTGCACAAAAGTATTTTGTTTCAGAATCATTTGGACTTAGTTAGAACAAAATTTTTGTTTTTATAATTGTAAAATTTCAAAAATTTGCGCAACATAGCATTTCATAGCTGGGAGCAATTTTCTGGTTCCGCATGGAACTTGAATTCATCAGTATATTTACGCTATACTGCAGAGGGTCTGACGGTATATTTCAACGATAAGTCCGCGTTCACACTGTAAATTTCCACCATGACTAGCTCACACACCTTGCCAATTTTATACTTTTCATGGTATTTTCTAGTATTTTCCAGTATATTTTAAGACGCGTTATGGGCTTACTCTAACTCATGGTTTTTCACACTGGCGATTCCATGGGGCTCATATGGAAAAAAAGGGCTAACATTTTTGAACATTTCCCCTTCAGGTGTCGCCTTTGATAATTACATGAAAATGTAGTTAACATGTAGCAAATGTGTAGTTATTGTGTAGTTACCATGTAAGAACATTGATTTTGCGGACATTTTTTCTTGGCCTGTTTTGCTTAAACCTTATTTTATAAACAATCCAATAAAGAGGAGAGCTTAAAGTTGACCATTCTTGTAAGAAATTGATGTAATAATCGGATAAATTTATGTGGGCAGGGCTGAGGGTTTTATTTAGCTAGTTATATTGCACGGAATATCAAAAACGAGCAACATTGTGATTGTTTTTTTGTTTAACTATTTTGTTTAAATCCCGTTTTAGTTGAAAAACAATAAAAGCAAGGAACAAAAACTAGCCAGTTAAGGAGAAAATTGATTAATCAATGGCCTAAAATTACGTGGGCAAAACTTAAGGTTTTAGTTAGCCGACATTATTCAACGGAATATAAAAATTGGGTAATATGAACGACGCAGTCGCGATGCCTGGAACGCAGTCGCAGCAGTCGAAACTTTCGGAACAAACAAAACAAAACAAACTTTCGGAACCTCACACAGGTGTCGACCGAACAGCCGCACGAGGGTTCTGGCTACGGCTCAGCGACATTTCTTCACCGCTGCTGCAGCCCGTGCACTTTTTATTCGCTTTCAAGGTCTAAACAATTGAAACAATAGCAAAATGGCTCATCGCGACTATGTACAGGACAGAGGTGAGTGTAAAATCAGCGTTGCGACTGCGGAAACCACAAAACCCATGTCTCCACGCAGAAACGTTCCTGTCGAAGTTTGGCAAGTGCGACGATGACGGCAAGAAGCAATTTGTTTATAACTCGCAGCTGGTGAAGCTGGCGCATAGGGAGCAGGTCCTGATCACCATCGATCTGGACGTTCCCGAAGTTCAATAAGAGCCTGGCCGAGGCGGTGATCGACAACCGCCGACGCTATGCGGGAATCTTCAGTGATGTGATTGCCGAGCTGCTGCCCAGCTACAAGCAGCAGGAGGTGCACGCCAAGGACGCCCTGGATGAGTACATTGAGCATCGCTTGATGATGTACGACCGCGTGCGCAATCCCAAAACCTCAGTAAAGGTGAAATCTCTGATTTTACCGGAGAAGGCCTATTCCATGCGCGAGGTAAAGGCCCAACACATGGGCAAGCTGACGACTGTACGCGGCATTGTGACGCGCTGCACGGAGGTGAAGCCCATGATGGTCGCGGCCACATACACGTGCGATCGCTGTGGTTCCAAGACGTACCAGCCGGTGAGCTCGCTCTCCTTCACGCCCGTCCACGATGGTCCTTCGGACGATTGCCGCGTGAGCAAGGCCGCCGGTCGTCTGTACTTGCAGACGGTACAACTCGAATATTGGACTAAAATATAGAGTGTCACCAAATAATACCCAACTAAGAGAGACAGCGGTAGACCAACTTACCCGAGGAAACAGCCGGCTAGGAATATGCCTATTCGGAGCGGAAATATGCATAAAAGAAGGGAAGAATATGGGATACTTTGGCATTGGGGTAAGCAAAATACATGACCACATTAAAAAAAATCTAAATCTATACCCTCTTAGGAGTTTAAAAAGCCTCTTAAAGCTGGACGTGACGAAATCGACTACTCCAGGAGAAAGGAGTTCGCCGCCGAACAGCTACAAGTAAAAGGACAGGATGTGGAAGGCGCTGGCAGCAAAGGTATCGGCTGATCGCCTGTAGAAAAAGCGAGCGGCTGTAGGTGTTAGCAATGGCAAGCCCAACGTCAACGCACAGCCTTATACGCCATCTCTCCACTAGCCGATGTCTTCTACGATGAGAAACTGAAGCAGAAATCAGGAAAAGTCCACGCTGCTGAGGAAATACACATCAAGACAACTTTACATTTAACGAAGTTCTGCCCCCGCCCACAGTGATTGGCTATAAGAGCAAGAACATGTTTGCCGTGGACAAGATCTGTGAGGGAAAAGTCTTAAGTGATGTGCCGCTTGGGCAACTACAGCGATGGCACTGTGGATCTCCATATATGCCGCACTTACTAAATAGCAAATAGGCACCTCAGTTATTTCAAAAGATTGGAGGCAATCGATATTCCTCGTTCACCGAATGCCAATCGGCTGTTGTATGTCTCCGGCAATCCGCACAGTGCCAAACGGAACTTCAACGAGCTGGCCAGACGCGAGTGCAAGCAAGGGATCCAGTCCTTGTTTGATACCCCAAAGGATACACACGAAGATGAAAAGCACTGTCAGTAGAAGCAGAATCAGAGGCTGTGGCTGATTGAAACTACAACTAATGTAAACATTAAGACAAACATGGCACTTCTTGTCTGTACAAATCATGGACGTTGCACATAGGCAATGCCCTTCTGCGTCGTCTGATGCGCCTTGAAGAGCGTCGAAGAGGCGAATCCTTGCACCGGCTCTCAATGAATATTGATTGCCTAGATGACTCTGTTCACTCCGATCCTAATGTAAATCACGCAATGCGTAAGTAGCACCGAACGCCTTGCCAAACCTTTTCAGACAATTTTCGGTTCCCCCGTCTAGTTTGCACAAGCATGTGGGCAACATTCCATCGTTCTTTGTGCGCCTGGCGGCGGTTCTGGTTTCGTCAAGCGCCATAACCAAAAGAAGAAGCTGGATGGTGCTGCAAACCTCGAAGAGGAAGAGGATTAAGGACCAAGTAAGTAGTTTGGGATATATTTATCGATTGGCTAACTGAATACCACTACCCGTTGGGTAACTTATTTTTGGGCAATTGCCACCTCTGTTACTGAAGATGACGTACTTGCGGGTGCGTACATGTATCCATGGCTTATGTGTCTTAGAACCATTCCCTTCATAGGAATCCTTTTAAAAGTTAATGCATTTTTATACCCGGTACTCGAAAAGTCTGCGCACTAGTTTTGTGTTGGATAATGATGTGTGGAAAGCCCAGAAGGAATCGTTTCCAACTGCTCCCAGCGTTTTTCGATCCACCAAATTATATCCAGATTCCTTTAATATCACACAGTTACAAGTGTATTTCAAAATTTCGCTTCCATAATCGTGAAGACGGCTCGTAGAGAATTACCACATCTATTAGACTGCCGAATCCGCATCCGCTTACTCATTCTCTCTCACTCTTAATCGTGCAGTGCCCGAAAGCGAGATGTAATGTTTCCTGTTGATGTGGGAAGGGAAATAGAGAGAGACAGATGAAGCGGAAGAATGTAAACGAATAGTGTTTAAAATTAAAATCAAATGGTAATTAAGTGAGAATGGGATAAACGAAGTGCAAGAGTTAACATTGGAACATAGGGAGTGGTCGTCCCCTCTCTCATGACCAGTTCAAGCGAAACTGAGATAAATCGAGGTCTGAATTGGCTGTCCTACCGAAATCCCCCCAACAAATACATTTTTCCCTTCTGGGCACCGCTATACCAAAAGACAGAGAGAGTGAGATAGAAAGCATGCGGCATTCATCGGCTCCTGTAAAATTACGTTTAAAATATATTGTATTGGTTACATGAATCATAAGCTCTCATATATACATAGACACTGATCCAGTGCCGGGAATAAAAGTATAGTCGCTATTCACAGCATGCCCGCTCATTTTTAAATTTAAATTACAATTTGGACTTTTCTCAATAGACACTCCCCCAAAAGATACTTCACAAATTTTTCCGAAATATTCTCCACTCAGACTGAAAGTATGCACTGATGGCGGCCGATGTGAAATTGTTTGCGGCCACTGAAACATTTATTAGCAACTTTTAGGCATTGTTACATTGTTATACCTTTTCAGAGGGTAGGTTAAATTTGCACAGAATTTGTAATGTTCAGTTCAATCTAAGAAAGCAAAGCGAGGATCATGCATTTGCTTGACCTCCGACCATATGCCCCTTTGGCATCGACCTTATTGTGGGGCATAAGCCTTCAATGCACCTCTGATGGATTAGATTCCAATTTGTCCGTCCGCGCGTCTATTTCGATGCAAACTAGTCGGAATCTGCTTCAATGTTCAAAATGATGTTCTTCCTTACAGAAATTTCCATTTATTTCCTCACTCGAATGTGTCTAATTTCTCGATGGAGGGTCAGGGTCCCAGATCCTAATTAACAACAGAAAGAGCCAGGCAACCGCCAGAGGGTTGGGCAATTCGCAAATCCCCAAAATTCTGATTAAGAAAATATTTCTGTATGTACTCTCTGGCATACTCTGACCAATTTTATAATACCCCCGCCAGTGTACAAAACCATCCTCAATGTATCTTACAAGCGAGTATTACATACTCGTACATACTTTTGGCTTTCCCGAATTTATGTGAATTTCCCACAATAATTTATCATGGAGACAGGAGGAGATCGATTCTTAAGCCTGCCTGCAGTTAGACGACTCTTTAAATTATCCCCCAAGATTAAGAAGATTCCATGCGCAGGCGTGGCAGCATCAGAAGTCATCAGAAAGGTGTCACAAATCATTCACGCGACACGACACGACCCGACACCCTCCCCTGCACGCCGCGCGGTGAAAGTGGAAATGATATTAAAGCAGCCGAAGATAAATACAGGGAAAAAGTAATCAGAAATTGAAACAGTTGTCTCGAAAAACTCAACCGAAATCCAAGGGTCGGGCACTGAGCACTTCCAGCGAAGCATTCAGGCGGCATGTAACACAATCCGTGCGTAACTATAACTACTTAGTACAAGGCATAGAATGTATCTAGTGCGCAGCATGAGGTGAACAAACTCTGCTGCGCATGCGTCGCTGTCGCTGTTGCCTCGGAACTTTGTCGTCCTCCTCCTGTTCGTTGTCATCCGATTTCAAAACATGAAAAATTAGTCCACTTCCGTCGCATAGATCCAGGCAGTCACCTCTCCTGCCTGCCTGCCTGCCTGCCTGCCTGCCTTGCCCCTAGGTTGAATGAACTGCAATTGTGTCCAATCCTGCCTGCCAGACTTGTTGCCTTTCGCTTGAGTGCATTGAACTCGGCTTGGGGTTGCGTGGTTGAGATAGTTCCTGGATGTGAGTGTGTACAGTCAGCAGGATATGGATGTGGCTGTGGAGGCAGGATTTCAAAGGAACCAACTATATGTTGTAATATCTGGAATGTGGCTCTTCTTGGGGAAACTTCAAAATACTCGTACTTATAGCCATTTCCCTTGGCAGTGACATGGTGCCATGGATGGCGGTGCAATTAAATGGCAACCAAGCAAGCGACACCTCTGGTTCCGCTGGCAAACTTTGGTCGCCCTCCCGCCACCGTCCTTCCTCCTGCGGGACCCCATTAGAAACGCAGAACCCGAGCCGGCTTCGCGGGGTGCAACACAAACAGACGCGACGTCTGCTGCGGCTGCCGCGGCTGTTGCTGTGGCATGTGCGAGGGGTAAGGGGGAACGGGCGGGGGACACGGGGGGGAAAACGGAATCTAACAAAAGTGATGGACCGGCGCTGACTGCACGTCCGACTCCGGGACTATTTTTAGCCGACCGCGCGACGTTGTCTCCGTCTAGTTAGTATCGGGAACACATCATCTTCTTGTTGCCGAGGGAGGCTGCTGCGACTGCGCTGCCACACCGCCTCACTGCTAGAACTGCTGCAACGGATGCAGTTGGTGCCGTGATCTGGCTTCCGAGGCGATTCAATTGCATTCCAGCGCGCGCTCGGTACGGATACGTTACGGCACACCAGAGAGACGGATACCGATACGGATACAGCCGTTCAGATCGTGTGCAGACGAATCTCCATTCGAATTAATTGTCACATTGGATTATCAGTGAAAGTGGAGAAATTCTGAATCAAAAGATAGTGCAGTTCCTAACTTCTATGGTGGTGTCTTCAAAGTGTTGTTCCAAGATTGTTCGAAAACAGTACCAAACAAAAAGTGATCCTCAACAAGCAACAACAAAGTTAACTAAAGGTTGGAGACGAAAATGTTCAAGAAACATATATGATCTGTTAATAACACATTCGATTGCAGTTCTGCTGGTTTTATTTTATTTTTATTTATTTTCCTGTGACGAAGTGCTTTCAAATATCATAGCATACTTTTTGCATTGCGAAACATTCGTTTCGATTTCGATTTCGATCTAAGAATATCGAAGAGTTCTCTTTGGTCCCAGAGGAAAATGGCAACGAAATGAGTAATGCCAATATAATGCTTCTGGGCTATAGGAATTTGGCCCGTCCCTCGCTCCCCGTATCGTGCAGTGACCACATCTCAATGCCTTTAAGTGCAAATGTCTGGAACGGCGAACCGTTGAACAAAGACATCGGCAGGACAGGACCGTGCCGTGTCGGACGGGGCGGGGTGGCACATGGGGACGCTGAATTTAAATTGGAAACAAGCTGAAAAATGTCGCATGTTCGATGGTTCTCCATTACCAATCCCCCTCCGCTCCCCTACCCTCGGCAGCATTTTCCCACTCTCCGCTCATTTCACTTTCCACCCAAAAAGAACGAAGGAATATGTAAACACAAAAAAAAAAGAGTGAAGACGCACAAGTTCAAGATTCTCAGAGGCAGAGAAATGTGTGCGCACACACACGAACACGCACACGCACACGCGCAGAGTATATCAAACAGGAGGTGAGGCAGTCGATGTGCCCGGACAGAGCCTGGTTTTAAGTCCCCTCTTGTTTGGTCTCTCTTTCTCACGGCCATGACAACCAGCCTGGCATTTGGCCTGCAGTCCACTCACCCGAATGGCCTCACCTCCAGTCTGATATGCCTTGCACACACTCACACACGCGTGGAATAGCTAAAAGTAGAAACGCGCGCAGTCGAAGCAATAAACTGCAACGAAAGTAGTTTAATGCAGTTTGCTGGGGATCCTAGGCCCCCCCTCCCCGGCCACCGTGCCTCACCGGATTCCCTTTGCTCTGCTTTGGCGCACGACAAACAACAGCAACAGCAACTGCCAGCACGTCGCGTCATTTTGGTTGCCCCTGCAACAGAACAGAACAGAACAGAACAGGCAGCGGCTGCGGCTGCGGCTGCGGCAGCCTCTCCTCCGTGCCCTGCTTCCCGGGCCGTGCACAGCAGACGCGTCACCGTCACCCGATGCGATCGTTTGGTTGATCTATTTTCGTCCTAGCCTTAGCCCCAGAGAGAGGGGATGGGATGGGATGTATAGTTTTTCGTCGCCTCGAGTAATTTGTTTGTTGCATTAGTTTGGTGGAAATTCTACACTGTGGAAAATTTAGCATTACTATTTCTTCGCCGATTCAACTGCCACTTGTGGGAATTTTGTTGAAAAACAGTTTTGAATGGCAAAAGATTGGAACAAACTAAACCAGCGGGCAGCGGCAGACATGTCGTGTGCATTACTCGGCACCCATGTGCCACTGACTTCACTGAAAAGGGGTTTCTTTTTGTTCAGTTGCAAAAATTTGTTCAGTGTAGTTTGCCCCAAATGCCGCAGACCAAACCAAAACCAAAACCAAGTTCAGGCCACCAGCCATAACAAAATCGCATTCAAACAAACTGCAAGCGACGCAAAAATGTTTATTTAAGAAAACTTTGCACTGCCAGAGTAAATGTTCAAGGAGTTTTCAGCCCCGCCATTGAGCGACCCGTACCCGTACCAGCCCCAGCCCCAGTCCCAGTCCCAGTCCTAGTCCCGCTCCCAACCCCAGTTGCAGTCCCTTTCGCTAGTTTTCCCAATGGTGGCGCAAGCGACTTAAAAATAGTGAGCTACAGAAGAGAATCTAAGACAGCAACAATAACTAAGACAACACCTACTTGAGAGGCGGAGGATGGGGATGGGGATGAGACGGAGTCGGAGTCGGGCCTGTATGGACTCATATGTCAAGAGTGCGACGACATTGCCCATGTAATGGCAGCACAACTATTACGAGTTCTTTGCACTACGGAAGAAGCAGACGCCAGCCATCAGCAGCAGAAGCAGCAGCAGCAGCAGAATCGTTGCAGGGGGCCACACCACACCACACCACACCACATACTTGTACTCGTACTCGTAGAAGATGCGCTCACATGTGGCCATAAATGGGGGAAGTTGCGTGCATGCGTCTATCGTTCTTTTGGGGGGACACTTCCGTCTTGTGTGTGCCTGCGTGCCCCTCTCCCTCATGTACGTATGTACGTACGTATGGGAGATTTATGTTGAAACAATTCCACGTTCTGTTGTTGCCCTGGCATTAAGTGGCATTAAAGTTTCCCGGGCTTATCGCCTACAAGCTCGCACCTACAGATGCACAAGATCTTCGGGCATGAGTTGAGCTAAGATTTGGGCTCATTTCCGCTGGAGGTACATCTGTACATCTGTACATCCATACATCCACTGTGCAGTATGTGTGTGCGTCTTTTATGGAGGATCGTTAATGTCAAGTCAGCCCTCAAATTACATATGTCAAATTATGTTGAATGTGGAGCATTCTCCAGGTACAGTTGTGCCTGGATGGAAGCTGCAGCCGCTGATCAGGATCAATAACCGAAAAGTCGAACTCGGAAATAGTTTCCCTTACATTAAAACCATATTTTAATAGAATTCTTTCTCTTTACCTCCTTTTCAGCACATGGCCACCCTGCAGCAGATGCCACTGCATCACATGGAGGACGAACAGATAGATCTACCGACGCCACCGCTGCCCATTAATCCGCCACCGAAACTGCTCGCCAATGGGATTATCTACGGCTTTCGGACACGTCACTTGTCCTGCATCGAGGAGAACGACTCCGATTCGCTGGCCGGCAGCTCCATTCCCCGTGCCTACGACATGATGCAGCAGGCGGACGAGACCTTCCAGAAGCTGAACGCCAATGCAGAGCAGAGCTGCGAGGAAGAGGAGGAGCAGAGCCAGTCTGGTAGCGAGGATGAGGAAGGGAACCTGGATGATACGATTGCCATGATCGATGAGTCGCGACTCTGCGATGCCGACTATCTGGATGAGCTGGTGGCCGATGAACAGCAGCATCAGCAGCAGGAGGAGTCCTCGGATCTAGTCGATTCGGGCAATGTAGAGGAGGACTACTGGCAGCCCAGCTTCAATCGCAACGACATCATGATGACCTCCGTCTACGGCACACTGAATGGCTCCATAGCCAGTGAAATCTCCTCGACAGCCCCGCCAGCCTACTCAGAGCTGAGCACTCCCAAAAAAGAACAACCCGAGCCTGTGTATGCCACGCCCGAGAAGCGTCGCGCCAGCAACCGTAGCTTCGACTCCACCTGCGCCTCCCTCACCAGCTCCATCTACGGCGGCTCCATGAACTCCTCCCTCGATCTAAAGTACTCCTCGCTGGTCGTCTCAGTGGGCGGCGGCAGCGGCGGCGGCGGCGACTCTGGCGGCATCAGTGCCACCAGCACACTGCGCGGCACCTCCGTCCCCCCCATGGACATCTCCATGATGTCCAGCGATGGCGTGAGTGCCCTCGACTGGAGCTCGACCAGCGTAGGACACTGCGGACACGTCTTGGACACGGACGATGCTAATCCTGAAGAGGACCTCAACGAGGAGATGTCCGCCAAGTGCCTGAGTGCAGCAGAGAGTGGTGAGTGCTTCACACACTGAATATTTGCCATAAACCCCATAAAATTTTCCATCAATGACTAATTGTGAGAAAGACCCAATCCTTGGCATGATATTTATTTCTGTTTTGGCGATTTCTCTTTGTATTGTACTTCCATCTGAATGATGACCGAATGGCAATTCATCAATGCCGACCGGCTTTAAACTCATTTACAATCCTTCATTACCGGACATAGACACAGACACAGACGCAAACACAGATACAGATACAGATACAGATACAGATACAGATACTTCCCTCCTCGTACACGCCTGTACAACTGTTTTAATGACCGACTCGCAACGGACTCATTTCTTTCGGCATTAGAAAGGTAGCCCGCAAGGCGGCGGCTAGCGCTGACCCCCAGCAGCACACACTTCAACATCATCAGCATCCACAACAACATCCTCTCAACCGAAAAACCAAACAGATTTCCACCGGGCTGGGCTGGTGGAGCGGTGGTCCATACGATTGGTACGATTCAATCGGCCGTGGAGCAAACAAAGCCATGGCAAAGGATAGGAGAGAGAGAGAGAGAAAGCCATTTCACACAGATGTTTAACAAGCCCCAGCACCAGGGTCATAAATCATCCAAGTGGATTTTATATATCTCTTATTTGGTTAGCATATGACCGGACCGTGGCCGGCAAACGAGGATCCTCGGCGACTGACTTCTCCTCGGGGTGAAAATACGCTGACATTGACAGTTTCTAATAAGAAAATTGGCCAAGATTTATGTCCCAGTCTTCTGCTGACTTCCTTCCACTTTTCATTTAAAACTAATCAATAAACTAGCACAGCGCACAACAAAAAAAATTGTTGCAACAAATTGCCAAATGATGCTGCAAAGTGCAATGTCACAGTAATTTACGTGCCACTCCAAAGTCTCCCCCCATCCACAATCCACCATCTACCACAACCATCCACAATGCTGATGAGAATTTATGCAAGGGTTAAGTGTCAGCCTCAGCCTCAGCCTCAGCCCCGTCAATATTTGCATAGTGGGTTTCATCCGCTTGAATCTGTTTCGAATCATTTGGGAAACACTATTCCATCTGAAATCGTATTCGGTGTTCGATTTGGCATCAAATGATCAGACAAGGAACCGTCTATGGTAGCCTAATATCATCTCCATCTCTTCCGAAAGAATTGTCCCATATTCACCCTTTTCCCTGGATAGATATTCGCAAAGTTTTTCTCAATTTTCGTCCACTGTTCTGCCATGGCTGTGGAAATTCGTGGCGCGTTGCGGTGTGTGCGTGTGTGTGTTCGCAAAAGTGAAAAGTCATGAATCATATGCATCATGATCACACCGAACACTATGCCCGTGCCACACCAAACCATGGCAAACTAGGATGGATGATGATGATGATGAAGCTCCAGCTCCAGCTCCAACCACAGACACAACCACAGCCAGGGGGAGCATTGAGTGCGAGTGGATGTGGATGTGGATGGGCCATAAAGTTCCATTGCTTATCGCTGGAAAACTTTTAAAAAACACTTGAGATTGCGCTGAGAACGTGCAGAGAGACCGAACCGAACCGAACCAAAGCGAAGCCTCAAAGACGCATCCGTGGAACAGGTAGAAGAGTCTCTCAGCACACACTCCACTCCGCCGCAGAGAAATGGGGAAGACGAAGACGAAGACAGGCAGTGGCAGTGGCAGACGCTTGTTGTTTGGCTGCTTGTATCTACAAATAGACTTGGAGGAGAGCTCTGACGGCCGCAAGACAAAGTCAAACAAAAGACCCAAACGGTAGTTGCCATGAATGGACCAACAACGAATCGAGAAACCGGCTGAAAACTATCTGTATCTGACGGATGCGAGAGGCCAACACTCGGACACAATTGCCATTGCAACTTTGTAGCCCGCGGGCACAGCTGGACCCAAACGGGGGACGGGACCCGGTAACTATTTATTGGCACGGATGGATCCCAGGCTCCATCGGATCCAGATAGGAGCCTCAATAAAATCCCAGCGCACGCACTGCGTTGAATGCATTTTGTGTGTTCGATAAGCCCCGAGTCGGCGAGGAGTCGCCGACGCCGGGGATTTCCCACAATCGATGCACTTGAATTTGAATTTCGCAATTGCTCTTTCAATATTTATGAGTTGAACTCTGTAGTTACTCTTGTTCAGTGTTGTGATAATGAAAGTGCCTAGGATAGAAACCATTTACTTACTTGGTTCCTGATTAAACAGAATTTACGACAACAAAGGGATAAAAGTCCAATAATGCAATCGAATGAGAACTGAAAGAACTAATTCCCAGAAATTTAGAGCTTACCCGCAACATTGCCAAATGTTCAAATCAGTTAGGGTTTTATTTGTAAGTGTTTCTAGATCAGCCTTAATATTTATGGTTCTCTTATCAAGTAGATTCCTGTAATTAAATGTAATTTTCTAGATTTCTCTGTGCCAAAGATTTCTACAACCGACATGTAATAGAATGGCCCCCTATCGTTCTCCTCGTTGCCCTCTTACCATAATCAAAGCCCATTAATCAAGATTGTGTCACAGGTATGAGCTCATTTGAGCGCTTTACATGGACTCAATAACTGAGGAGGGATCTACGACCAACACGAACACATGAAAACGAACACGAACATGTCGAGCGATTACAAACCATTATTGTTATTGCTCGAAGATTACACTACGTGAGCTGGACGCGGACGGGCGGGCGGGCCTTTGTTTCTTCTCCTTTCTACCCTAATGAGTAGATTAATTCTAATGTAATTGAAAGTTCAGTTGGGCTTTCAGCTATCGAAATGTTTCAAAACTTGGGTAACCTTCGCATTTGACTGGAAAGCTACCAGAAATGGTGTTGATGGTGATTGTGGTGAAAATAGAATTCTGTTCTTTAAGGAATTCCTATGACACCTGGCCCCAACAACTACTGTTACAATTCCCCTATGGAAGGAACAGATCAAATAGGACTCGTATCTTATCATATAATTTATGTAAATATTCGAAAATAATAATGTTGGGTGAAGAACCTGTGTGGAGTGTAGGCCGTAGAATAATTCCAAGGGAGTCCCGACGGCACCCTGTAGAGTGACACCATTCCACCTTCCACCTCATCCTCGGCCAATCGAAGTCTTGCCTAATCCACTCACTTTCAACCAGTCACTTATCTGAGAGGAGCCCCTGGAGAGGAGAGTCACCTACATCTGCTTGCGTCATCATTCGCTCCTCGGTCAGCCGGATGCGGTGTGTGCGGAGGGAGGTAAGGGAGAGCAAGCGATAAGCGACGCGACCAAGTCAGCACCTCAATCAGTCAAAACCCATAAAGAACAAATACAAATACTAGAACCCAGCGTGAATGAATGCTTCCACACAAATTGAAAAAAAAAAGAGTGATAGTGGAACTGATAAGACAGACGCAGAGACAACCAAACCAACGCACGCCGAGCGCCGAACCGAGCGCCGTGCGGAGATCGCTTATCAGCTGGAGAGCAGAAAGACAACCAGCGGGAGAGAGGAGGAACGACGACGAGAGCGCAAGCACACTCTGAACTGTGCCTTGGGTCTTGGAAAACCGGTAAATGTGCACGAGAGTTGCGCACGCTCTCAGCCCGCTGTGCGGAGAGAGTCGGACACTTGTCTGGCTTTGGTATAACATTAAAAGGTGGGGCCAGCCGAGCGAGTTCTCTCTTTTTGAGGCACCAAATTCTTTCCGAATACAGAAAGTGCAGGCGCGCATGCTTATGCGGTGTATTTTCTGCCTGCAATAACAATTTATGTATTTCGATTTATATTTTGTGCATGTTAATAAGAAAAGAATCAGAAAACCATCATGCTCAGAATCGAAATGTTTGCTATAAAAACATTGAATTAACAACGAATATATATTTGGGCATAAGAAAACAAAAATAGTTTGAAGCCCATCTCTCCGCCTCGCAAAAAGTGGCCGCTCGCTGAGCTGCCCTTACCTTGCCGCAAGGTATATCTCGGCATAGTTATACCATGTGTCTGGCTTTCCGCCGCTCAGTTTCAAAACGCATTTTAAAGCTCGCGCACGCGCACCTCTCGGCCCAGCAACGGCTTTCGGCCAACCGCGATCAATCGTACGGACGGACGGGCCCGGCATCGTCGCTACTTTGGATACGGTTCTCATTTCAGAAACACATACTCGTATGTCAAATTCCCAAACAAATGTGCAAAATTGCTAAGTTAAACGGAGTTCACATGTGCCGTTGCGGCAGGTGATGAGTAATGTGGAATGCACTGAAGAAAAATGTAATAAACCCACCTGAGTATAAATACTATTGTTTGTTTCAGTGTGTGCAGTATGTGTGTGCATAATCGTCTTGGAATTCCTCTAGTTTTGTGTGAAAAGTATTTTACTGTTTATAAATTGATGACTCCTCCCCATAACGAGGGATAAGATAGTATAATAGGAAATGATTCGCGTCATGTGGCTAGCAATTACGAAATTTTATGAAATTGCTTCACCTTAAGACAGTAACAGAAAAGAAAATATTACAGTAAAATTCTTTGCCAAAAATGTATGGCCAAAACAAAAAAAGAGGATCCACAGAGAACCAACTAGCCAATCTAATGAGAGAAAAAGCGTAAAATGAAAATCCAACATCTATATTTAGTGATTTATTTTATCTGCATGTATTTTTTAATTTATTTTTAAGTGCATTTAAAAAACGAAACAAACGAAAGAAAACGACTTAAAAAAAAGAACGACAAAAAGAACGTGCTACAAAAAGTGTGACAGTGAAGAGAACGAGAAAGAAGACAAGAATTTAGGCAGCAAGAAACAAGGCTAAATCAGGCGCCCGGCAGCCAGGGCAACGACTTGAAAGGATTCGCCTCACCGGCAGCAGCCAACAGGCAGCGGCAGCTGGAACTGCATCCATCTGCAGCTACAGCAACAGCAACAGCTACAGATACCGATGCTGAGATACTTGTACATGAGGCAACCAACGAACCCACAGCGAACCACAAAAGATACATGCCATGTTCCCAC